GGTGGGGGGGGGGGTTGGGGGTTCCCCATAGTCCACATTCTTTCCACCCACGGCTACCTGGGGCAGAGCAGCCAGGAGTCGAGGGAACCAAAGGAAGAAATGAGGGCTTGACCACTGAGAGCCGCGTTTGGGAAGAAGAGATGAAAGGGCAGGTCTGGACGTGACCTAACAGTGACCAGTCAGGAAAAGCCATATTCGTTCATCTAACATTTTCTGAGACAACCTCCCAAGCTCACCCTCAGAGGGTAAGGAAGGCAGAGCACCCTGGCCCGGGCAGGGAGATCCTGTGAGCCCACAGCAGCCAGCCCTCACCCCATTGCCCCTTCCTCTGCCTAACCTCCCACCTACCAGGACCACTGTTTTGGCCTCCTGGGGCTGCAGTAAAGCTTGGATTATAGAACACTGAACTGCACAGGGTGAAGGAGGGGCCACTCTTTTTTATCTGTGTCCATCCGCCAAAGCCTGCACAAACGAGGGTGCCCTCAAAGGGGAATGAATTCCAAGGGCCTGGCCCACCTTTACTATGTTCCTTTTTGAACCCCAATGGCAACCTAGGTGAACCCTTAACTCCTCCATTATCCCCTGCTGTCAAACAGTGGCTGAATGGTGGGGAAGGAGGCAGGTGCCTGCCTCAAGCTGACCCCCAGGGTGGGATCTAAGGCTCACGGGGAATGCTCCCCCCCACCCCCTATTCGCCCCACTCCAGGGTGAGGAGAGGAACAAGATGTAACCCAGAGCCTAAGGCAAAAACAAACAAGGCTACTCTGGCAGTGGGGAGACAAACCACCCGCAACTGCCAGCAAGAGACCAGCTTCTGTGCCTTGCTGTGGAGCAACCACGGCAAAATCCCTTCCTGTAAGGTGGCCTCGGTGGCCTGGCCACTCGTCTGTAACGTTCTGAGAAATTGTTGCCAAGCAGGGACATGAAAACCACATCCTTCTGGAAACGGGTGCTCTGACTGCTCCACCATCCTTCCCACAGAGCAGAACCAACAGGCAACGCCTGGACACCACCATCCGCTGGCTCCCCTCCCTCCAGGAGCGATGGGAGCGTGGTCAAGGCCCAGCTGGGAGTGCCGGCCTGCCTGGCCTCAAACCCAGCCAGGGAGGGGCAGTGACCCAGCAGCCCCATGCCCACTTCCCCATCCCCCCAGCAGAGCAGCAGTTCTACAAAACTCCCCTCCAAGAATGCGTGTGAACACAACCCCAGGTAATGAGGGACAATACTGGACACAAGGACACACAGGAGGCCTGAACACAGCCTGGGCCACACAGGGTGGCTGCAGGGAGAGGAAAAGGAGCTCTCAGGCAGAGATTCCTTCCTTCAGCAACATGACCTGACCTGGGCAAGCGTCTGCCTCTCAGGGCCTCAGCATCCTCAACTAAAATGGGGCCTTAACGACCGATTCCTAATGTCACAGGAGATCAGCCGGCAGCATCAAAACGACTTACTCTAAACACAGATTTCTGGAGATTCTGATAAGCAGGTCTGGGTTGGGGCCAAGAATCTCCAGTTTTGACAAATCCCCAGGTGATTCCTGCCATGCCTAATGGACGAGGTATCAGCTTGGCCACAGAAGGCTGCAGTCCCTCTGGGGATCCTGCAAAGGTGGAAGGACCTTGTCAGCTGTATTTGCAGCACAGAGACTGGGAGTGCAGTAGTGATGGCTCCTGGTAAGCAATTAACTAAAAGTAACCAAGATTCACCCACTTGTGTTTCGCAGATTACAAAACCCCAAAGCACTGGTTTGTCTTCCTAGCTGCAGATTAGTGAATTAATCCACACAGGAAAAATTTTTTAAATCTAAAACTCAAGTAAGTTTAAGACAGAGAACAGCCAGCTTGGCTGGAAATGACCTATGAGGCAGAAAAATGTTTAAGTGGTAGAAACCCTGTTCTTTTTATGGACAAGACAATCCTGCTCCTTGGAAGACCAAATGCACCTCCCCACCTGTGCACCTAAAGAAGCCAGAAAGTGGATGGCCGTGCCCTCCATGGAACTGGGCCCCAGAGATTGGGGAGGGCTGCTCAGGCATGGTACCCGAATATTCAGGAATCCAAGAGGGCGCTCCTTGGACATCATTTAACCTAAGCATAGTAAAGAACTCTCCCCAGAGCTCTGAAGCAGTAAACAAAGCCAGGCTCCCTTCTTTCTCCTTGGTCTTGGCTCCACAAAGAAGCCAGCTAATTAGCACTGGCCTGTATGCTTTCCACAGCACTGCAGACCTTATCCCTGCCCGCTTGCCCAGGGCCTCTGAAAAACGATGACCTTGAGGTGACACAGGGACTCTCCATGTGGAGATCCCTGGTCTCCTTCAGCTCCAGCCAGGTAAGCAGGGAGAACATGGAAAGGCCACAGGGAGCTCCTTGGCACACAGGCTGCAGGGAGCCTGTGCTCTGGAATGTGGATTCTCTGCAGGGGGCTGCTTTTCTCACCATCTGCTCCCCTCTCCCCCACTGGGCTCCCAGGGTCTCACCCCACAAAGACTCACAACCAGGAAATAACTCTGCTTTCACAGATGTCAGGGTCCGAACCCACACCCGGAGAATCTCAACAACCGTGACATAAACCCCAAGCCCTCGCTCTCCGGTAACTTAAACACTCGGAACTATACTAGCCAGGTCCATGCCAGGGAATGATCAGAAAGAAACACCCTAATCATCCATGAGAGGATGTGTCACACTCAGATATGTCCCCTTACATGCCTGCCACCCCCCACCCCCCGCCAGAGCACTCGCATGAGGACTGTGCCATTTGTGTTGGACCAAAATAACCTTATGAGGTCTTGGGGCAGGGTGTCTCAATGACACTTATTTCCCCATTCCAACCCACAGAAGAGGAAACTGTTGACGGGAAACCGTTTACTTTAGTCTTTCTTCACCCACTTGTTTATTCCTCCTCCCCATGGGAAGAGAAGGCACTCAAGAGCCAGGAGGTGAGGAGTGACCCCAGCCCACACTTCACCTAAGGAGCGGGGAGGAAAGGCTGCCTCTCACTCCTGACCTGCTCGCTCTGTTCTGGAACCAGGAGGTGGAGAAGCAGGTCCTGAACTTCAGCCGGAAGACCCAGGTCTCCACATAGGCAAGTCCCAGAATTTAAATGGAAGGAGGTAACAGTTAGACCTGTTTGGACCCTGGCCTAAGCCACATCCTCCAACGCAGGGCCTTGGGTTTGGGGGGGAATGAAGCCAATGAGCATCTGAAGCTTGGCAGCTTCAGAGGCTCAATGAAGGAGAAAAGACTGTTGAGTGCTCTGCAGCCACCAGCCTGAGGTGTTACCCGAAATTTACCAAGGACCAAAGAACAGAAGGCGATGAGGACAGCGGCACTGAAACCAGAACCAGATCTGACCCAAAAGTTAGCCAAAGTGACTCCAGAGTGACTGTGGTCCCTGACTTCTCACCTTCGTTGGTAACCCTAGTCACGTCAGAGGAAGGCAGAACTCAGCTCTCTACCAGCTAACCAATGAACACCAAGACCATTTACCCTAAAATACATACACAGACTAAGAACTTTGCCTCCTAACAGAAGATGAATAAACTCTTCACAAATACTAGTTACCACCACAATTGAGAAGAATCTCCAAAAGCTATTTTGTGTTTTTTGCATAGAAAACAATTATCAGAAAAATTTAATTCCAAGTCCACAAACTGTCTCAACTCCAAAAGTTATCAAAACAGAATAAAGCATTTATGTGGCAAATAGGAGGCATGTGTTTGTCAAAACATCAACTTCTTAAAACAAGGGGAAATGTCAGAATTATTTAAGTGTTGAGATGGCTCGTTTGTGATCAGAGAGGAACTGAATAATACACTAAAACCAATCTAAATATGAAAGGCTACATGTACACACGCACACACACACACACACACACACACACATATGCACCAATCTCCTTCACTTTTGAGCCAACAGGAAAACACAATCAAAAGTACAAAAATATCAATATAAAACAGGTAAGTTTTTAAATTCCCATACAATTAGAAGTAACATTAAAATTAAAAAGGAAACACAAATGATAAGCTACCTGCAGCTGCAGCTATTATGACAAAGGGTAAATACTATCTGCAACATATAAAAATTCATACTTTAGTCGATTTACAAAGTTGTGTTAGTTTCTGCTGTACAGCAAGGTAATTTTCCATTATGGTTTATTGCAGGATATTTTCCATTATGGTTTATTGCAGGATATTGAATATAGTTCCCTGTGCTATACAATAGGACCTTGTTGTTTGTCTATTTTATATGTACTAGTTTGTATCTGCTAATCCCGAACTCCTAATTTATCCGTCCCCCACCCGCTTTCCCCTTTGGTGAACATGAGTTTGTTTTCCATGTCAAAAAAAAAGAGAAAAAAAATTCATACTTAACAAAAGATCCTAGTTTTAGACACACAGACAAAGGATACGGGCGTTATACTGAAATGTAAGGACAATACAATTCATAAATGGAAAAATATTCATAGTCACTGGAAATGAAACTTAAAAGACAACCCGCAGATAGTG